AGGACCCTAGCATGAAAGCCATGTTGGCCGTCTTCTGTAGAGGAGGCAATGGGGAACTCCCAAGTGGTATTTAAAAGGTATCCTCACTCTGTGATGACCTGGAAGGGTGGGCAGGGAGAGTAGAAGGGAGGTTCAAGAGAAAGAGTATATATGTATACATCCAGCTGATTCACAATCCTGTTCAGCAGAAACTAACACAACATTGTAAAGCAATGATACTCCAATTAAAAAGTAAATTAAAACAAGAGATATCCCCAGGTCTGTATTCTGGCATAAGAACAAGTCTTGGCGTCTGATTAGAATGATACCTCAGCTCTAAAGGTAAAATAAGAATTAGCATCTTGGTTAAGCTTACAGAGAAATACTATAGAATTTCTTCCATAGACCTCCCAAAGTGAAAGTCACTCAGTCGTGTCCAAGTCTTTGCAACCCCATGGACTATATACTCCATGGATTCTCCAGGCCAGAATACTGGAATGGGTAGTCTTTCCCTTCTCCAGGGGATCTTCCCAACCCAGGGATCAAACCCAAGTCTCCCGCATTACAGGTGGATTCTTTACCAGCTGAGCCACAAGGGAAGCCCAAGAATACTGGAGTGGGTAGCCTATGCCTTTTCCAGGGGGATCTTCCTGACCCAGGAATCGAACTGGGGTCTCCTGCACTGCAGGTGGATTCTTTACCAACTGAGCTATCAGGGAAGCCCATAGACCTTCCAAAGCACTTCACAAATGGTGCCAGGTGGGAGGTCAGGAGAAGGTAAAAAAGTCCTAACCAAAGTCTTTAAGAAGGCCTGAGTGAGACTTGGGTCCCCAGTAGCCATTTGCCTCCTTACACACTAAACCAGAGTGTTTGGGGGTGTATGTTTGTTTTTCAATATTTATTTAATTATTTATTTGGTTGCATTGGGCCTTAGTTGCAGCAGGTGAGATCTAGTTCCCTGACCAGGGATTGAACCTGGGCCCCCTGCATCGGGAGCTCAGAGTCTTTAGCCACTGGACCACCACGGAAGTCCCTGTATGTTTGTTCTTTCCCACTGAAATACAGACAGGGCAGGAAGAGAGTCTTGGGGGACCCAGGCCCAACATCAAAGCCTTTCACCAAGTGTTGCCAGAGTCCTGTGTTCTGCCCCTCACAAACTAGCTTTGCTCATAAGTGTTTGTAAGCCTTCAGCCTACCAGTCTAGGTGACTCTATATTGAAATATTGTTAAACATGAACAGAGTTAATTTCCAGCCATTCATGTATGTCAGTGCTTATCATTCGATGCCTTTAATTCCTAGTAATGATATCATCCTCTTTCCCAAAGCAGGATGAAGCTCTGAGTTGGAAAGTGACTCCCAGGGAAGCCTCTATGGATTTGGATAATATTCAAGCTGTTTTCTTGGCCCCCAGGTCTGAGGCAGACTAATCAGGGAGGGTGGATAATCTCTGGTATTGTTGGAGATTCCAATCTCTTAACTGAGATGAAAAGACCAGACCGGTCTCCATTTCCCTGGCTCAGTGGTCAGTAAGAATGCATCTCATCTCACACGAACCATGGGAGCCCCAGGCCTTGGACAGACTCCAGTGTACTGTGTCCTCCCTAACTAGGTCCCTGATGGTATCACAGACTTGCAGTTGAATGTTAGAGACCCTTTGAAATCAAATGACACTCATTCTATATGTGGGATCCTATAGCTCAGGGAGGTTAAGAGCACTATCACAGGCCATAGAGTCACTTGTTCAGTTAACATGTGTTTATTGAGTTCCAGCTGGGCTCCAGGTCGTTGATGGGCAGTGGCGAGGAGGTGATAAACAAATCTGACCCTGGAGCTGCCCCCTTGGAGCTTACTGGCCAGTAGGAAATGCAGAGATTAGATCAACCATAATAAAGAATGAAGTAAATTTGTATCAGGATGCTCAGGGCAGCAAAGAAGAAGTTGAAGGGGCCAGGGGGACTCTGTGTGGGGTACAGTGGGGAGCCTTTCAGAAAGGCCTTTCTGAGGGGGAGATGCATGAACAGAAGTGTGCAAGGGAGGGAGCCAGGTGATGGAGTGGAGGCATTCAAGGTCAAGGGAATGGTCTATGTAAAGATTGAGGGGCAGGAAGGGGCACAATGTATGAGGGCCCAGAACAGGACCTGCATGGGCTGGACAAGGGAAGCTGACAGATGAGGCCAGGAGAAATCAACAGCCACTCTAGAACTGAAATCCAGGGCTCCTGGCTCCTATGTGGAATATAATAAATGACAGAAGGGAAAAATGCAAACATATCTAAAATATGGACCCTGCCAGTATAAGAGATGGGAAAGTTTATTTTGAAGGTCTTTTCACCTCCCCCTTCAGGATTGAAGGTATTGATGAGTACACAGAGTTACAAGGGAAAATTAGGGCAGTTGACATTGAAGGTCTCTGGGTATTCCCGAGGCAGTTTGATTCTGGAGACTGGCCCTCTCTGGCCTGAGCAGGTGAAGTCTACAGGGAACACTTGCTCCAACTTAGTGCCACTGCTCAAAGCAGCCATGACTACACTAGAGAGAAGCTGTGACATCCTGGCCACAACACCTAATAACCTTGAAAGTTACCTGGATGAACAGACTGCCACGCTGGGATCAGTGCTTCTCACTGTGTAACAGAGCTGGGACTAGAGTAAGGCAAGCAAGGCACTCACCCTGGGTGTGAAATTTAAGGTAATGTCAAAAAAAAAAAAGCCATCATGGAGATAAATAATATTTTAATGCAGTATTTCAAAAATCAAAATGAATACCAAGGACCCACAGTGAAAAAATTTCAAAAGTTTAAGTAAAGACCAGATCCAACCCTACTCATGTACAACTCAGCCTCATTTGACTCACCATAATCCTGGCCCTGGTTCAATAAAACTTTATTTACAAAATCTGGCGGGCAGTCTACAGGACATAGTTTGTCAGTTTCATTTTGTTAAAATATCACATTAAACTATTATTTGCTTATCAGGTTTTTGGTGTCCCTTAAATTTTGTGTTTAAGATCAGTGCCTCCCTCTTCGATGGACGTGAAATTGAGCGAACTCCAGGAGATAGTGGAAGACAGAGGAACCTGGTGTGCTATAGTCCATGGGGACACAAAGAGTCAGACGTGACTTAGAGACTGTACAGGAATGGCAGTTTCTCATTGCCTGTGCTGTGAGCTCAGGCAAATGACTTCCAGCTCTGATCCTAGATGTCTTCTTATGTAACTCATGCAGTAATGCTGGTCCCCACCTCCAGAGCTGTAGTAAGGGTTACCCTCATAAAAGACATTTGCGCACTTACTAGCACTCGATTAATAGTGATTGCTTGTGTGGCTATAGTAAATATTCTGTTTATTGATGTTGCTTTTATAAGAGTTCTCTCCAACGAGAACCAATTCTGGGCCCTCAGGGGACTTCAGAGGACCTGGCATTCTCTATGGAGGGGGCAACTTTCTCACTTAAGAACAAGCCTCCTTTGGGTAACGGGGGCAACTTGGAGCTGCCTGCAAAGAAACTGTTCAGCCAAGACCAGAACCAGGTGCCTCGTGGGCTCCCAGAGTTCAAAACCCCATCATGGGGTGGCCCAGACTCTTGCTATGAATTTGAACTTGCCTTGCAAAACTGAAGTGTTTCAGGACCCAGGCACACAGTGTTGTAAAAAGGGGCAATTAAACCTATAAAACCAAGGTTTACAGGGGAATTTATAGTGTCGGAGGCTTTTTATAGCTTTTTAGATTAGTTTAAATAGAGGAAAAACGAACAGAGGAAAGAAAAAGAGAGGACTTGAAATTTGAGGAGACTTAAAAGTTCAGAAAGAAGCTTTTAGGAAGCACAGAGGGGTCATAATCAGAGGCACATTTTTCCATCTTGCTGTCTCTTGAAAATTGGAGCAAAAAAAAAAAAAAAATCAAGAATAGCTATCTCCTATCCCTCCTTTTTTGCCTTGCCTTGTCTGTTCGAGAAGACCTGCAGGAGCTGGGGAAAGTCCTGAAGAGGGACTGGGGAATGAATGTAGGATTTTGAGAACATCAGTAGGTCCCATGGTGACTTCTCTAGACCCTGGGAGGAAACTAGCTTCGCTCCATCAGGCAGGTCTATGCAGTAAGGAGTCGATGTGCAGCCATGGGAGTTTGTCACAGGAGATGAGAAACATCCTCATGAGCCATAAGGTGACACTGGTCCTCAACCAAGATATTACACAAAATAAGCATGGTGCACAAATATAGATATAGTATGCTGTACAATGGAAAAATACACACACAGGCAAGATTATAATGTTTTCAAATTTATCAAATTTTTAGAAAGGACATGCAAGCTGCTGTAACAATATATGACTCCAGAAAGAAATGTGTGTGTGAAGACACAGAGGAAAGAAGACTGACTTTCCCCCCGTTTTCTAAACTCTAACTTCCATTCTGTGATCATGCGGAACTTACTCAAAACTCGGGTTAATATTTTCAAAAATATTTAAGCTCCCTGGTGGTGATCTGTACTGTAGTTTTGAAAGATGTCACCATTGAGGAAAACCAGGTGACGTGTACACAGGCTTTTTCTGTCTTATTTCTTCCAACCATATGTGACTCTACAATTACATCAAAATAAAAGGCTTCCCTGGTGCCTCAGAGGTAAAGAATCCACCTGCAATGCAGGAATCACTGGCAAGAGACACAGGTTCGATCCCTGGGTTGGGAAGATACCCTGGAGAAGGGAATGGCACCCCACTCCAGTATTCTTGCCTGGCAAATCCCATGGACTGACGAACCTGGTAGGCTGTAGTCTGTGGGGTTACAAAGAGTCAGACACAACTTTGGGACTAAACAAACAAACAAAAATTAAACTCACTTTCTCAAGAGACTTCCCTGCTTCCTCTGCTGCCCAGCTTAGTCCTACCCGAAAGGGACCTCCTCTGACCCGGCATATGAGTTATTTACGCCCTGTACCAGTCATAACCGTTTGTAGGCAATGTTGTTGCTGTTTAGTTGCTAAGTTGTGTGCTAAGTGGTGTCTGACTCCCCGCACACGAACTGTAGCCCTCCAGACTCCTCTGTTAAGTCCATAGGATTTCCCAGGTAAGAACACTGAAATGGGTTATTTCCTTTTCCAGGGGATCGTCCTGACCCAGGGGTCTGAAACCACTTCTCCTGCATTAGCAGGCAGATTCTTTACCACTCAGCCACCAGGGAAGCTGTTGGTAGCCTATACTGGTTGTTAAATATTTTGAATATCACATCCAGATATTTACACTCTTATGGTAACCTAGACTTCTCTTTCAAAAGCACTTGTCAAAATTCAATTACATAGTTGAAAAAGTTTTCAAATTACAAACTCCAGGAGCGTTTCCCAGGAAAGAATATTGGAACAGGTTGCCATTTGCTTTCCGAAGAGATCTTCCCCACCCAAGAATTGAAACACCCCCCAAGCCCCACCCACACTGCAGGCAGATTCTTTACCACTGAGCCAGGGAGGCCATTTTAACAACAGATATTTGAGCTCAAATAAGCAACCCTCTTTTCAGTCACTAAGAATTTTATAATAAAGTTCTACAAGAGATCATTCAATTGGTTTGATTTGACCTAGGTAGTATGCAGCACTCCTATTGGACGTTTTTAGATCACCATTCAGTATGGAGCATTCCTATTGGACCCTTCTGATCACAATTCAGTATGCAGCATTCCTGTTGGCCACTCTGACAGATGCTTACGCCGGTGCTTCCAACCAGCGTTTCCACAATGGCTTCCCAGGTAAGTTCTCGTTTCTTTTTCTTCCTTTCCGTTACTTAGAATGCCGATTTACCATATTTGCGTCTTTTATCTTTAGATAGAGGGCTTTCTTTGGCTGGAATCTGTCATAGAGAAGATATGTGAGAGGAAGTAAAGGTCATGTTTAAACTCAGGTTCCTGGGCCCGTTCTAGCACTGTTGCCAAGTGTGGTCTCAGAAAAGTAACTGACCTTTTTTGTGTTTTCTGGCGTTCTCACCAGTAAAATTGGCTAATAACAGTACCTGCGTCATAGGGCTTTTGTGAGCGTTAACCGAGTTAATACACGTCAAGAGCTTGGAACCACAGCCAGATATACGTTAAGCATTTAACAAATGTTAGCTAAAAGCGTTTGGAGAGTCTTTATGAGATGGTATCTGGTTGATTTTCTTCCCAAAGCTGATTTAACTCAGTTTGAATGTTTGGTTCTGCCACAAAAGTCAAATTCAGTTCTCTTGGTGAGAAGCTTAAAGACTGCTATTTCCTGTCCTAATTATAGGCTTCTGCTGATGTCACCCTTGTTTTCCATTAAACATACTCAAGAATGTCTGGGTTGATTATTTCTTTGGCCAGGTCCTTAAAAATTTTTGAATATTTGTTGAGTTCCAGGAATTCTACTAAATGCTTAAATACGTTATTTTATTTCATAATGTTTAATCATAATTCTGATTCTGAAATAATCATTTTTTAAAATGTATCAAGCAGCAGTTATTGTGGTAAGTATCTTAGCTCATTTCACCCTTGGAAAGGCCCATAAAGTAGATGTTATTATCTGTATGAGATTGATTAACTTTTTCTAGATTATAGAGGTAGTCACTGATACAACAGTGATTTGAACACAGATTTGGCTGAGGCCAGAACTTGTAGTGTATTTCCAGACTTCCCCCCTTTGCTGTGCTTATACAGTCTTAATTTTTAAAAAAGTAAATAATTATCGTGTGCTACAGTAATACATAAATATCATACTTAAAAGTTATCTATGATTTTTTGGGTCGTGGGAAGTTTGACAAGCACGGTTTTGGCAGATTATACCTAGAATGTGTATGTGTGCCTTTGTGTGTGTCTGTGTGTCTGTCTTTTTCTCACATGTATGATATTTCTGTGTGTGTGTGTGTTTTAATTGAAAGTTAGTTGCTGAGAGTTACAGGTACATGTCCACTTTAGGCGAATTTCTTTAAAAACTATCCATATTTTTGGAAAATTAAAATTTTAAGTAAGGGCTTTGTGAAAGTTGCTCAGTCCTGTCTTGACTCTTTGGGACCCTGTGGACTATAGAGTCCATGAAATTCTTCAGGCCAGAATACTGGAGCTGGTAGCTATTCCCTTCTCAAGGAGATCTTCCCATCCCAGAGATTGAACCCAGGTCTCCTGCATTGCAGGCAGATTCTTTACCAGCTGAACCACTACATTAAAAGAACATGTGTCACTCTTTTTTTGGAAAAAAATTTTTTTTAATTCCTTTATTTGGGGGCTGTGCTAGGTCTTATTGCAGCTCAGGCTTTTCTCTAGTTGTGGCAAGCAGCAGTTGCTGTCTCGTTGCGACGTGCAGGCCTCTCATTGCTGTGGCTTGCTTTGTTGCAGGGCACGGTCTATCGGGCACAAGCTTAATAGTTGTGGCACACAGGCTTAGTGGCCCCCTGGCATGTGGGATATTCTCAACCCAGGGATAGAACCCATGTTTCCTGCATTGGCAGGCAGGTTCTTTACCACTGAGATACCTGGGAAGCCCCATTTCTTTGGAAATTTAAATGAAAATTTAAGTAGAGGATGTAGATATTAGAAACTATAGTGAAAAAATACATAGCACTCATTCTTTGTAAATTAGATAAAAATTTAAGTAGAGGGTTTAGCTAACTTTTTAAATTACAGTTATTCTCATGGGGGAAAATGATTTTGTTTTTATGTTAAATCATCATCTCGGTATGTCATTTCACATCCCCCACATGCGTTTGATTTTCACACTTGGATTCTCTCATATTGGGTGCATCATCTATACATCTTAGTAAAGAGATGCATTAGGGGGTGGGGCTCATTGCATGTTTTTGATATCCAGATATCCTCCAGGGCTCTTCAGTTGCTATGGAATAAAGTTCGGAATATATACCCTGGTAATTCAGGCTAGCCAATACACAAGATGATTTTTCTTCTTTGTGGTTTCTAATAGCCTTCCCTTCATCCTGCACCACTTTTTTCTGGGCAGGAAACCCAAAGGGACAGCAATCAGGAAGAGGATTCCATCCTTGCCTTCTCCCTTTCAATGGAAGTGGATAATTCAATCAGTCCACAGACGTAAGGCCTCAGAGACCAGCAAGGAAAGGCAGTCCTTAAGCCAAGTCGATTCAGTGTTCATTGCTTTCTCTCTCTCTTCTTCTCTTCTTTCTTTCCTTCTAAGCTAAATCTAAAGGAAGACAAATCAATCCACACTGAAAGGGAAAAAAAAAAATCAGGCTTATTTTCACCAAAAGAAAATTTTGTTTTGTTTTTTTGGATCAGAAACACAGGACTTCCCAAATCAAGTTAAGTGAGTCCCAGATGTGGACTCATTTCAAATGAAAAACACACCCCCGTCCTCTCAGGCAGAACTCTGCTTGAGGAAACTGGTGATTGCAATGCCTGACACAAGAGAATTTCTCCAGAGAGTTTGTCCCAGCCTGTGGAGAGGAAGAGGAATGGGGAAGATGAAGGGCTGGCGTGCTTCTCCTCCCCTTGGGGAGAAGAGAGACGGGATTCAGGTTAATGAGGTTGGAGGGTCGATGTGAACCAATCAGAGGAGTGGAAAGCATCTTTGAATAGTGCCGAGGATGGCGAGAATGGAAGCGGCCACATGCTGAAGGCTGGCTTTATTAATGAGAAGGCACTGAATCCATATCACACAGCCTGGACATGTACTGCCCGAAACAAACAAAACCCAATGAGAAATGACAGTGATGCTCACACTTGTGGGCATTCTGGAGAATTCTTTTTCCACGGGAGATGGTAGATGGCAGCTGGAATGCCAGGGAATGACGTGATGTGCAAATTAATATATTTCTTTTAAAGGCCAAGAGGAGAAGAGGGCCTTCTGACAGCCTTTGATTCGACCATTAATTTTCAAAGACTGATCGAGACACTGACATGTCACATGGACCTGCTTCTAGTGTTAGACCAAAAGAAGAATGTTGAACCGTGTAACCGAAGACATCTCTTGGTGAAAGATTCTCCTTTTAACAACTGTAATTCGCATTTTCATCAATGTCATGCTGTGCATAGATGAAAACAGTCATTTAAATGTGTTTCTTCTGTCTTCTCCTAATAAGCTTGATTTTACATTTCTTGCCATCTGGTTTGTTGAACAGAAATATGGAAGTACTTTTACTCTCTATATGCTTCTTACGGGGTTTAATCTAAGATGTGGCCTTTTCCTTTTTACTGAACTGGACTCTAACCCAGATTTTTCCCCCTAGACAGTCTCTTTGGCCATTTTGGCAGGGCTCTTGCCCTTCCTTAAGCCAAACCATTTAACCCAGTGTAATTACTTTATGATGAGCATCTCAGTCATTTCTTCCAGAGCACATGCAGCATCCTACCTCGCCATGCATCCCCACAGCATCTCAGCAGAGTTTATTAAACTCAGTTGAGCCGGATGAGTTCACATAGCTCTCCAATAATTATATTTCTCAAATTGGTCCCATAATAGCAATAATTGCAAGCATGCATTGAATGCCAGTACTCTGCTTAGAGCTTTAAATACACTTGCCCACTGAAGCCTAATCGCAACTCCATGAAGTTAAGATTGAGTTCATTTTACAGAAAAGGAAACCAAGACTCCGTGAACAGAAGAGCTGGGATTCAAAACAGTCACCGTATACTAAGTTCTCTGCACTTTGCTTCTGTCTTATACTGTGGGTCTAGTGCTAGACTCCAACAGAACACAGATACCTGGGAGGGAGTATGTGTGAACTGCAGGGAAGGTTACAAAGGGCTTTGTCATAGTCAGTACCAGGTCTGTTATGAAGTTGCTGACCATGGTCTTGGATGGAGGCACAGGATAACAAAACATGAGTGAGCATGGGGCAAGGGGCACCTGAGGACATGGGCAAAGGACTGGAGCTCTGATATTTCTAATGAATACAATCCAGTGTCCAAATTATACAGCTTTATCGTGTCTGAGATATGAACCTGTATTAATTTCCTGTGACTGCTGTAACAAATAACCACAAATTTGGTGGCTTTAATTTAAACTAACAGAAATTTATTCTCTCTTAGTTTGGAGGCCAGAAGTCCAAAATCACAGTGTCAGCAGGGCTGGATTCCCTCCAAAGGCTCTAGAGGAGAAGGCTTGCTGGCCTCCTCCAGCTCCTGGTGGCTGCTGGCTTCCTTGGCTCATGGCTATGTAACCCTAACCTCTGCCTCCATCTTCCTCTGTGTCTGTGTCTTCATCTTCTTCTCATCCTTCTCTTCTAAGGACACTTGTCCTTGAGGTTAGGGTCCATCTGGGTAATCCAGGATGAATCCACCTTGAGATATTTTTTAAAATTTTCTTTTCTTTAAAAACATTTATTATTTTATTTTATATTTTATTTTTTGGCCATGCCACATGGCATGCAGGACCTTAGTTGCCCAACCAGGGATTGAACCCACTCCCTTGCAGTGGAAGTGTAGGATCTTAACCACTGCACCACCAGCAAAGTCCACACCTTGAGATCTTGAACCTACTTACATTGGTGGTGGTGGTGGTTTAGTCGTTAAGTTGTGTCCAACTCTTACGACCCCATGAACTGTAGCCTGCCAGACTCTTCCATCCGTGGGATTCTCCAGACAAGAATATTGGAGTGGGTTGCCTTTTCCTTCTCCGGGGGATCTTCCCGACCCAGGAATTGAGCCTTGATTTCCTGCACTGCAGGCAGATTCTTTACCAACTGAGCTACAGGGAAGCCCTACTTACATTGGTAAAGACCCTTTCCCCCCTCTACCAACATCCACATCCTATCAGATCTGTCGTCAGT